GAGTGAGGAGGGTCCTGGTTCACTTCTGTAAGGACGGAGCGGCTCAACCAGCCCACTTTGTGCAGGTCAGCAACGCTCACAGAATACAGCTTGACCGTCATCACTGCAGTAATAAACATAGTCACACACATAAAAGCAGAGGTAGCAGCAAAGACAATGCAATGTGGCAATGCAATACAGTTACATGTCAATGTACATTGTGCAAAACGACAAAGATGTAGTGTGTGTGTGTCATCAGTGGCGCACCGTGGGGCTTTAGACAGGGCCGCCCAGTAAACATTGAGAAGCACACACACATTTAACAGTCTCTGTTTCCAGCCAACGCAGCCATGATTCTAATGATGCGCACATTATGCCAAACAGTCTCCCAACAATAGTGACAGCTGATTCAACAATCACTACAGCTGGTCAACAATCACAAACAGCTGATCAACAATCACAACAGCTGATCAACAATCACAACAGCTGGTCAACAATCACACACAGCTGACTCAACAATCACAACAGCTGATCAACAATCACAACAGCTGATCAACAATCACAACAGCTGGTCAAACAATCACAACAGCTGGTCAACAATCACAAACAGCTGGTCAACAATCTCAACAGCTGATCAACAATCAAACAGCTGATCAACAATCACAACAGCTGGTCAACAATCACAACAGATGATCAACAATCACAACACCTGGTCAACAATCACAACAGCTGGTCAACAATCACAACAGCTGGTCAACAATCTCAACAGCTGATCAACAATCACAACAGCTGGTCAACAATCACAACAGCTGGTCAACAATCACAACAGCTGATCAACAATCACAACAGCTGGTCAACAATCACAACAGCTGGTCAACAATCACAACAGCTGATCAACAATCACAACAGCTGATCAACAATCAACAACAGCTGGTCAACAATCACAACAGCTGATCAACAATCACAACAGCTGATCAACAATCACAACAGCTGGTCAACAATCACAACAGCTGGTCAACAATACACAACAGCTGATCAACAATCACAACAGCCTGGTCCAACAATCACAACAGCTGGTCAACATCACAACAGTCTCTCAAAAATACGACAGTAAGCTAGATAATGGTTAAATGCAGACGGACATGTCCCAACATTGATCAATTAAGTAATCTATTATTAACTTGTGTCATCGTGCACTCTCACTTCGCTCTAAAATGACGTGAATAGTAACGTGCTCACCCGTCACTTGTAAATAAGTCGATGCTACGAAGGTTTAGCTCAGGACACTGTCATTGAACATCAGCATCTGATTGGCTGATGAATCTGTCATAATGCTTATTACCAATCAGATGTGTTGTCTTTGAACAAAAGGCTAGCAGTATCTGTTGTGCCCCCGCCAACTAAAATAACTGTGAGGCGTTCAAGTGACTTTTTGATGTAGGAAATCCCAGTTCAGCCTCAACAAAACCTTACTTAATTTAGTAATTCTGAGGATATTATACTATTAAAACTTATAACTAAATACTAATTGTTTGATTATTGTGTAATAGTTTAGATTCATAAATCAGACTGCAACTGTTCTGGGATGTTGTAAACTGAGACTTTAACAGAACTGATTTGTTTTTGAAGACGTTTTTAGTCTCTTATCGGATATATCTTATTTCATTTGTATTTATGTATTTGATATTCTCTGATCTATATGTTTCAATATCAATAAAATCAGGGTTTTTGTAGAAAGATATAGTATGAGGGTGCTGACGTCACTTCTGGCCAAAGTTACAGCCCCGCCCACTTTCCTGTGAAAATACTGCATCAGAGCGAAGCTGGAAATAATGTGTCTTCATGTCTTAAAGCTGCTGAGTCATATATTGCATCTCAAACAACAAACAAATCCAGAGGTTTCTTTACTTCCTCTACGGAAAAGAAGTCTCAGTTTCAGTGTCAGAGACCCACCGGACATCCATCCCATAATTATTCTCTGTAAAAACAAAGCTGTCTCTGCCGCCTGACGCTCTGTGTGATACTCATATCTCTGGAGAACAGAAATATAGTTTTCTGGCATCACTTTTATATTCTACGGGAAACCTGCATTCTGGTTTGAGGCTCCTGTTACCCGGTTTAAACAAAACCCTGACAACTATTCCATATTTGTTCTAACTCGTTGTCCTGTGTCGTATTGTGCTGGCTGGAGGTCTGAACTCTGCTTAGAGACTTGCTCAAACCAATACCTTTTATTGTGCATTATGGGTTAGGGATACCTGTTTTAGAAATGTAGATATAGACACCGTAGATGCTAAACCCAGCGTGTGCATTATAGACCGCCCACCACCAGGTAAGGCTACACGAAGGGTTACACTTTAGATTTTCTTCTTCATGTGTTTTGCCAGAGTATAACGGGTCACTTCAGTGAGGGCGGAGAGAGGACGAGGTGGAGGTCGGCTGCTCTCTGGAGAGAAACCGGCTCATTCTTCACCGAGCAGACGCAGGGCGGGGGGGTCACTCTGAAGGTCAGACACGCCACATGTTAAATACAAATCATGACAATTCATTTGACCTTTATCTTTAATATGACCTAATATTGTCCTTTTCCCCCCTCCATCTCTAACCACCCTGTTGTCCTTCCCTCCCAGAGGCACGCCTTCTGCCCCATCAAGCACCTGTCCGTCACGGAGAATGCTGCGCTCCCATTGGACGTTCAGCAGCGAGGAGTGGAAGTGGGCGTGGCCATCATCCTGCAGACAGCCAATCAGAAGGTGTTGTTGACACGGCGTGCGAAGGAGCTCCGGATATTTCCCAACATCTGGGTTCCTCCAGGTCTCACACTCATCTGTTACAGGGCCAGGTGCATCATGGGAAATGTAGTGAAGCAGGGTTTTTGGATTAAAATCTCAACATTTAAATTCTGCTTTTAATTTCTCTTCAGCTCTATAGTGCAGTACTTCAAAGTTAGCACTTTCTCACACACATTTATATTTATGTGTTTTTTTGTTTTATTTTAACGTGTGTTTTATTTTTATAGGAGGCCATCTCGAGCTGGATGAGACGGTGAGTCATCTCTTTATGAACATGATTTGATATGACTTCTTCTCTTCTTGAGGAGGAGGAGGAGGAGGAGGAGGAGGAGGCGAGGCGGAGGAGGAGGAGGAGGAGGAGGGAGAGGAGGCAGGAGGAGGAGGGAGGAGGCGGAGGAGGAGGAGGGAGGAGGAGTGAGGAGGAGGAGGATGAGGGGAGGAGGAGGCTGGAGGGAGTATTATTTATTATTCTGCTTCTTCTTCTTCTTCTTCTTCTTCTTCTTCTTCTTCTTCTTCTTCTTCTTCTTCTTCTTCTTCTTCTTCTTCTTCTTCTTCTTCTTCTTCTTCTTCTTCAAAGTGTGGTTAATGGCAGATGAATGTGTGCAGCTGCTGGACGCCGGTCTCAGGGAGTTACAGGAGGAAACGGGGCTGAAGCTGGAGCCAGAGGAAGGTTCTCCAAACATCCTGGGACTCTGGGAGGTGAGGCAGGACTCTTTAAAGTAGAGACACTACATACTGATATACACCTGAACATCAGCAGGAGAGGACTCTTTAAAGTAGAGACACTACATACTGATATACACCTGAACATCAGCAGGAGAGGACTCTTTAAAGTAGAGACACTACATACTGATATACACCTGAACATCAGCAGGAGAGGACTCTTTAAAGTAGAGACACTACATACTGATATACACCTGAACATCAGCAGGAGAGGACTCTTTAAAGTAGAGACACTACATACTGATATACACCTGGACATCAGCAGGAGAGGACTCTTTAAAGTAGAGACACTACATACTGATATACACCTGAACATCAGCAGGAGAGGACTCTTTAAAGTAGAGACACTACATACTGATATACACCTGAACATCAGCAGGAGAGGACTCTTTAAAGTAGAGACACTTCATACTGATATACACCTGAACATCAGCATGAGAGGACTCTTTAAAGTAGAGACACTACATACTGATATACACCTGAACATCAGCAGGAGAGGACTCTTTAAAGTAGAGACACTACATACTGATATACACCTGTTTGCCTCTCTGTGTGTCAGTCGGTGTTTCCCGCCCTTCTCTCCAGAGGTCTTCCTCAGAGACATCACATCGTGGTCTACCTGCTGCTGCGCTCGCCCCTCTCTCACCTGGAGCTGCAGGTACGTAATGAGACATAAGACAATAAAACTCATTTTAAAGAACAATACAAATAGTGCAAGAAGAAACAGAGTAGAAAGGATATATTGTAATATAAGTATATGCAGGAGTTAACTAAATACAAGTAAAATATAATTAGATTGGCTCAAGATGTAAAATGAAATGCTCTGAAATAAAACAATGCTCATTGTATTTATAGATAAATATGTGAGGTGGTTGTTGGTGTGACATCTGAAATGTGAAAGTCACCCTGCAGGCGTCTCTGAGCCCGTCTCCGGCGGAGGTCAGCGCCTGTCTGTGGGCCGACCGCCAGCTGGTCAGCGCCGTGGTGTCCGACCCGGACGGAGAGAATCACGACCTGCAGCGCAGCGTCAGGTAACAACTCCTCAAAACCAGATTCCTTATTTTCTCATATTTTGGTTTTAGTGAAACATTATTTGAAGTAACGAAATCTTTACAGGGCAACCGTTGTATATCATTTTTAATATAATTTACATCATTTTTATACATGATGACAAGAAAACAACTTGAATATTCTCTGAGATTTAACATTTACAAGAAACACTCAAAAATGTATAGGCAAAAAAACGTTACAAATGTACGAGGAAAAAGTAAAATGTGTGAGATTAAATGAGTAGATTATCTAGAAGAATCCTTTTAGTGTTAAATGTCCTAATGAAATGTGTGTGTGCATGCAGTGTGTCTCAGGTCTCTGCAGATGGCGCTCTGAGCGACTCCTCGCTGCCTCTGGAGGTTTTCCTCAGCCGGGCGCCAGTCAGCGGCCCGGACGTGGAGCGGGTCAGCAGCGGGACCATGTTCGCCCTGAAGCTGTGGCTGCGGAGCCTGGATGACCTTTGACCTCTCATCGTGCGGAAGTGAGCGTGGTCAAATCTCAACTGGGTTGTAAAATGACAGCGACCTCCGACACTGAAGGCATCAGGAATCATCCCTAATTGATCTCATCTTAACTAATGTTCCCCATAAATACTCATCTGTGGGAGTGCTTGCTAATGATGTGAGGGACCACTGTGCTGTAGCCACAATCAGGGACACTCAGGTCCAAAAGGTTAAACCTCGCATTATAATAAAGAGAGACACTAAACATTTTGTGGAGCAGGGTTTTGTTCATGATCTGTTTGGCTTTGATTGGGGTAAAATCGATCTGTGTGCTGATGTAGAAACTGCATGGTCTTATTTTTATCTTGGTTTTATGGAGATCATTGATAGACATGCACCCCTGCGTACATTTAGAGTAAAGGGACGAGACAATCCCTGGTTTCCTGCTGAACTGTCCAGTCTCCTGCATGAGAGAAACAAGGCCTGGGCAAAGGCTAGGCAATCAGGCTCAGAGGTAGAATGGCTGCGTTTTAGGCAGCTAAGAAATAGCTTCACATCTCAAATCAAAAGTGCTAAGTCGAAGTCTGTCAGTTACCACAAAGAACCTGCATCATCCTAGAACATTTTGGAAAGCCATAAAATCGATATCCACCGGTGAGATCCGTAATGAGCTACCTCCGTGCCTTACCACAGCATCTGGCTCTATATCGGACAGGGTCACGATGTTAAATTGTTTTAATGAGCATTTTGTGTCCTGTGGCTCTCTGTTTGATTCTGTTTCTAACTCTGCTGGAAAAAAAAACCTTCAGTTTTTCTCCTTTTACTATGGAAGCCGTTCATTTACATCATTTGTATACATGATTACAAGAAAACAACTTGAATATTCACCGAGATTTAACATTTACAAGAAACACTCAAATGTATAAGATAAACAAATATTTTTAGTTAATTTACGAAAAACCTTACAAATGTACGAGAAAAAGTAAAATGCGTGAGATTAAATTAGTAGATTAACTGAAGAATCCTTTTAGTGTTAAATGTCCTCATGAAATGTGTGTGTGCATGCAGTGTGTCTCAGGTCTCTGCAGATGGCGCTCTGAGCGACTCCTCGCTGCCTCTGGAGGTCTGTGAACACCACAGTCCGTGACTCTGAACAACGTGGTGTGGAAAACCCTTTCAGTTTTTCTCCTTTTACTATTGAAGCCGTTCATGAAGCGTTATCCAAGTTAGATCCTAAGAAACCGGCTGGTCCAGACAACGTAGAACCTTTCTTTTTAAAGATAGCTGCAGATTGTATTGCACCACCTCTTACTTCTCTTTTTAACCTCTCCCTCAGCACAAACACAATTCCAAAAATATGGAAGTCAGTTTATGTCCTTCCTCTACTAAAAGGAGGGGAGGCCACTTTATTAAATAATTATAGGCCCATCTCTAAATTGTCAGTTCTGGCTAAGGTTCTTAGAGATAACCTTTATTGTGCATTTTGAGTTTGGTATACCTTAGAGATTTCGATACTTTAGATACTAAACTCATTATTGACATAATAGATCAACTACCACCAGGGAAGGTTCCATAAAGGGTTAAACATGAACCTGTTCAGCTGGTCATGAAACAAAGGGAGGAGCTGCAGACAGGTGAGGGCGTTAAAGTGAACATTTGAATATCGAGCTCCCCCGGACCCCCCGTATTTCGCACACTGCCTGTTACCATCTCACTGTAGGTCACCAATGTAATGTTTGTCGATCCCTTTATTACATGTGTCCTCGCCATCCATAGTCTCTAAATCACTTATTTCACGTATATATGATATTTAGGCCCGCTGGTCTCATCATACAACGGCAATGGGGAGGCAGCCATGACCTCTGCCGCACTGAAGGGGGCGCACGTGAGCCCACAGGTTCTTGTTGCTACTGTTATTCTACACAGAGACGGTAGACGCAAACAACAAACTACACTTTTGAAACTACAGGGAGATAAGGAGGACTTTTACAAAAAAGTAATAGAGATTGTTGTCCAGAAGGATAGCATGGACTTCATCTTCAAGTCAAGGTAAGACCACAATTGTATTGAAAATGGGATCTTACTAAGAGAGAACAATCCAATAACTAGAGAATAAAATTCCTGAAGAAATTGCTAGTGGGAATGCTTTATGCTGAAAAGCTGACGCTAAACTGCTATGCTGAAATGTTATGTGTAAGAAGAAAGTGAAGAATTTCGATTGAAATGATACATGAACACGGGGCTTGAATGTGAAGAAAAGAAAGTAAAAAGGCTTGGAAAAGCAGCAGAATATTTGAACTGCAAACTTTTGAACTAACTTGATGGTGAATGATCTGTCGCCATGGCAACGACATTTGATGACACCCCATAATACGCTTAGATGCGTTGATGGCTGCATCGTTACCAAACCTGTGAAGTTTTGGGCCGTTTGGAACATTTTCACTGAAGTTATGAGAAAACCGTGTTTCATGGCGAGCATTGTGTTGCCATGGCAACGGCATTTGAAGAAACCCCATAATTGACGTAGAGCTGTTGAGGGCTGTACCAGTGATATACAAGCGAAGTTTGGGGGACGATCGGACCGCTTCCATTGGACTTACAGCGACATCGTGCTTCATGGCGTGTGGTCTGTCGCCATGGTAACGGCATTTGATGACACCCCATAATACGCTTAGATGCGTTGATGGCTGCATCGTTACCAAACCTGTGAAGTTTTGGGCCGTTTGAAGCATTTTCACTGAAGTTATGAGAAAACCGTGTTTCATGGCGAGCATTGTGTTGCCATGGCAATGGCATTTGAAGAAATCTCAAAACTTTCTCATAGATGTCTTCACGGCTGGACTGTTAGCACACATGTGAATTTTGAGCACTTTTTGAACATTTTCATAGGAGTTAAAGGGACATCGTGTTTTATGGCGAGGGATGCGTTTCCATGGAAACGGCAGATGGTGAGATTTCAAATTTGGCGTAGAGCTGTTGAGGGCTGGACCGGTGATATACAAGCGAAGTTTGGGGGCGATCGGACCGTGTCCATTGGACTTACAGCGACATAGTGCTTCATGGCGAGTGGTCTGTCGCCATGGCAACGGCATTTGATGACACCCCATAATACGGTTAGATGCGTTGATGGCTGCATCGTTACCAAACCTGTGAAGTTTTGGGCCGTTTGAAGCATTTTCACTGAAGTTATGAGAAAACCGTGTTTCATGGCGAGCATTGTGTTGCCATGGCAACGGCATTTGAAGAAATCTCAAAACTGTCTCGTAGATGTCTTCACGGCTGGACTGTTAGCACACATGTGAATTTTGAGCACTTTTTGAACATTTTCATAGGAGTTAAAGGGACATCGGGTTTTATGGCGAGGGATTGCGTTTCCATGGAAACGGCATATGGTGAGATTTCAGATTTGGCGTAGAGCTGTTGAGGCATGGACCGGTGATATACAAGTGAAGATTGGGGGACGTGTGGACCGTGTCCATTGGACTTACAGCGACATCGTGTTTCATGGCGAGTGGTCTGTCGCCATGGCAACGGCATTTGATGACACCCCATACTACGCTTAGATGCGTTGATGGCTGCATCGTTACCAAACCTGTGAAGTTTTGGGCCGTTTGAAGCATTTTCACTTAAGTTATGAGAAAACCGTGTTTCATGGCGAGCATTGTGTTGCCATGGCAACGGCATTTGAAGAAATCTCAAAACTTTCTCGTAGATGTCTTCACGTGAAGCATGTCAAGGAAGTTGAGTATCTGAAGTGTAATTTTTGTGTACTTTCGGGTTAATAATGTGGCCTTTTTGGCAGTTTAACTAAAGGTGTGCGGCTGCTGCTGTGAGGAAATATCTGCCTGAAATTACAATGGGCTTTAATGGAGACATGTTGAACGTTTTTGTCACTTCATGCCCTCAAGAGGCATATTTTTTGCTTAATTATTTGTCATTTTTCAACCTACGAGATGTTTTCCTACGTTTGTCATGAAAAATGATGTCTCAGGAATGTAGGGTTTGGGAATTATGGCAGTTTTAAAAAATATGAAGGCAAATTTCAAGAATTCGAATTAGATTTAAAAGTTGTGTTACACGAATAATGTCAGAAAGTTGTGTAACATTTTAAAGTTGGAATGAGGTTTCTGAGTGAAAGTATGAATGAACAGTTAGCATGAAGATTTGTTGAAGTCTGAAGAATATCTCCATTGACTTCTATGTTAAAAATGTGATGTATTATGGGATGTATCTCTGGAATTATTTAAGTTATGAATGATAAAAGTAATAGCCTGCAATTCCCGACCGAGCTGAACATTTTGATGTTTGAACGGAGTTTCTGCGATGTGGAATGTGGGAGGAGAAGAGGGCCAAAATAAGTCGGCAGAATAATAATAAGAATTTTGTCTGTAGCATAACATATAGTGGGAATGCTGTATCAGCATTCCCACTAAATAAAAAAGCTTTTGAAAATAACTGAATATTTCGATTAAGGTAAAAATATAATATTTGTAAATCTGACTCTCTGAAAGAGTCAGTGCCTCTCCAGCCATGAAACTCACCGCACGTCACTGGTGTATACTGCTGTGGGTACTGGGTATACTGTGAGTACTGTGTATACTGCTGTTAGTACTTTGTATACTGCTGTGGGTACTGTGTATACTGCTGTGAGTACTGTGTATACTGCTGTGAGTACTGTGTATACTGTGAGTACTGTGTATACTGCTGTGAGTACTTTGTATACTGCTGTGGGTATACTGCTGTGAGTACTGTGTATACTGCTGTGAGTACTGTGTATACTGCTGTGAGTACTGTGCATACTGCTCTTCTCTCACCGTAGTAGTAGTCGAAGGTGGCGTTGTAGTCGTAGACTGGCGTCGCCGTCTCTCTCTCGTAGTCGCCGGTGGCTGACTCTTCTTCATGACTTCCTGTGGAGAAGGAGGAAGATTTGAGTTGTTTTTTGGAAAATACAGAAAACAGTCGACACATTTCAACAGTATTTGGTGTTTTATTGAGGTCAGTATCGACTCAGTTCAGAGTGAGGAGCCTCAGGGTCGAGTCCTGGGGCCACTGCTGTTTCTAATTTACTTTGTATATATATCCATGTTTAAATCACTAAAATGTGGTATAAATGTGTAGCCACATGTTCATGATTACTGACACACACACACACACACACACACACACAAACACACACCACACACACACACACACACACACACACACACACACACACACACACACACACACACACACACACCACACACACCACACACACACACACAGGTATT